AAGTAAAAAATCTATTCTTTTTTTTCAACCTTGTTTATTGAACATATTAGATTCTGTATCAATTAAGGACAATTATAATAGAGACCATGTGTTTACCAAAGTAAAATGATAAAAATCTATGAAAAAAGATGGAGGAATTACACTTATATATATATATATATATATATATATATATATATATATATATATATATATATATATATATATATATATATATTAGGGCTTTCCTTGTGGGCTAAGGCGCTTGCAATAGGTAGTAAAAGTTAAGCAACGCCGAGCGTATCACTAGGATGGATGACCGTCCACCAAGGAAAGCCACGCTTCCCGAGGTTCCTTCCTCCCCTCCCCAGGTATGTGAGGTCCGTCAGCCTACTGGAGGCAACTCACACATTGATTGATTGATGACTCTACCCCGTACTTTAAATCACGAATCGGGATGTTTTCTAGGAGACCACACACGCAGACAAACATCTTCATGGTCTGTAGCTCCAAGCGAAAAAAAAAAAATTATATATATACATTGACCCATCAGATATTTCATGTATATATAAACATCACCCATCTAAACAGATTGACCCATAATTTTTAGCATTTCAGATCCTATGATATTCATTTTGCCAATATCAGTTTTCTACAATAAAAAAAGTAAAAAATATACATAAGTTTCCAGTTATCTACATGCAACTCTATTATCCTACATTATCTCTAGTATCTTTGTTGATTCGATCAATTCATCTGCTTTTTAGTCTTCTACGTTGTCTTTTGCAAACTATTGAGGCATCCATTGTTCTGCAGAGACTTTTCGAGCGATTGCTCCGCGCTACATGCTTGCCCATCTTAACTACTTTGCCTTCATATCATGAAATTGACCAGTTTCTGTAAGCAGCTCTTCCTTGGGTTTCTCTGAATCCCCAGACGGCTCCGGTTATGTTGTGCGAATGATTTTTTTCTGAAATCCTTAAATAATTCTATCTACGGAGTTGCTTAGTGTCCAGATTGTCATGCAAGTCAGTGTTATACTTTTTTTTGTAATATTAGTTTAACTTGACATTAAAGACTTTAATGGACTGATTAAGAGACAAAGGTGTTACTGTAACACCTTTTACTTGCATGATTTTTTAATTTTTATTGTTCAACGAAGATTAAAACTTTTACATGAAATTTACAACTTTAGTAAAAATAAAATATGTATGTAGTAAATATGAAAAGAGAAATATAATGATATGAAAAATACTGTGGAGAAACTACCCAATGATGTTATACTCTAATAAATGTTCTACATCAGGAGGTCACGAGGCCTCGTCTTCAAAAACTACAAGATCTTCTTTTCAACCGCCACGGAGATTCATCAGGGATTGCTAAGAAAGTTAGGCTAGAAACAAAAGGGTTCAAATGGTTCTAAAATTTATTATAGAAGAATAGGTATGCGGATTGGACCAAATCGGAAACTCGTGGAACATCAAGGTAGTTATGGATGATCTTATTTGTGACAAAGCAAGGAGCATTGAGGAATGTACAAAGGATTACGAATTGGAAAAAGAAATAAAAATGAATTCGATTTTTTAGTGGTCTCAAAGCTCAATTCCGTGAGTCCGATTTCGCCTTATTTTTCAGCAACTTTTCAATTTTTAATTAAGGCAAGGCAAATAACTGTCATGAGTTCTCAATAGGCAGCATTAACATTATGGGAAACATTCTACTTTTATGCAGTGACCTGTATTTCAATGGATTGGTAGGTTATCCTGATTGAGCGAAAAAAGCTTACCATATATGCCAGCTTACATCTTTTTATTACCTTGAGGGAGCCCACGGACTATCTGTGCTGGTCTTGTACGGATTAAGCGTTATCTTTTAGAACTTCTGATCTCCCCCTACCACTCGCCATAACGGGGAAACTTGGAACTATTTTCGCACAAACATCTTATTATAGTCGTGTATATGAGTCTTTTGTAGTTAATTGGAGGCTTCAGGGCGTTTGTCTAGTAAGTGCTAAAGTAACCGGTAACGTCTATTGTTTTCTTCTTTCAGTCTTGTATCATGATTCCAATTTAGAAGTTGATCTGGTGGAGTTCTAGAGGGTAATAAAAACGAATATAATTAAAACGGAAAATGGCCTTGATTTTTTCGCTGAATATTGCCAAAGATAATTAGTGCTAATGAAATTCGGCCGGGATTTAATTACGTCACGGGAATGGAGACACGGCTACGTCAAATACCAGCACCTTCATCAATCCGTAGAATATATTCTAATCTCAGTTTAGAAAAGTGTATCCAGGTTGCATAAAAGAATTAGCTTTCTGTTTTTTCTTTCACTTTGTCGTAAAAATTTAGCTGAACATGTGTATTCAATTCTATAAAAATTAAAATATAGAAGCTGAAGAAAAAAAAATTAATTTATTCGGGCAGTAAATTTATATATTTGTGAGGGCTTTTAAGTAACTTAGCTACGCTAAGTTCTTTTTTTTTTCATAAAAGTATTTATTATTCACGATTAATTTTTGGCTAATCTCCAAACTACAGACACCAAACTTTTAGAAAAATTTTCTGGTTTAATAAGCTTTAAGGCAATATTAATTAAGTCATAACTTGCCACAGAATAAGCTGAGATTCTCCGCCTTGAATTTTTATAAAGGTTTATATGATATGAAATTATTTTTCCATAATTATTTTCATGAACTTAATTGGAGGAATATTAAATAGAGAACTTTTTATGAAAGGAAGGCATCTGTTGTTTAACTTTGTATAATTTAGCTGCTTAAAATCCCCTTAAAATGGTTTTATCAAAGACAAATTCTTGTAAATTTTGTCTAGTTCCCCCCCCCAAAAAATATAGTGGAAATATTAGTATATATATAAGGAAATATGAGGAAATATACCAATTTTTATTTTAGCTCTTATGGCCGACTATCATCTCTACATTTTTTTCCCCGTAACATACATATAGTACCATGTGTATATATATTTATAGTTATTTACTATATATTTATATATATTTATTTGTATGAATATATTTTTGATAGATCTGGGTTCATCAAAGTTTCTTCAATCCGTGTAAATTAGACGTTCCTTTCTATTTAACGTATCTTATATAGAGATACTTATATATAACTGATGACATAGGAAGGATTGTTGTTGAGTCGGTTTTATTTGGCTTGAGAGGGTGGGATAAAAGATTGAATGAACTGGTAGTGATGGCTGCCACAGATCACCAATCCTCACTCCGATGTTCTCTTCTCCTTCCGATCATCTTATAAAATTGACTCTACTGTATCATGTACTAATGTATCAGCTTGAGGACTAATATTGTAATTATCTTTATGGACATGAATAAATTCATCTAATGTAAGTATTACTCCTTTTTCCCAGAATTTCATATTTAATTATTTTGTTTACCATAACAAATTTACTCAAAATGACCACCACAATTAGGTTACTTTCGATAGCAGAATTACAAGTATCCACATGAGAAAATAAACAGTAACACGTTTAAAAAATAACTGAATCAGTCGTTATTCATTCTTTCCAGTAATTTAAAACAAAATTTTGGGTATGAACTAAATACTAATGTAACGGTACCCCGAAATAAAAAAAAAAATGTTTTCACATGATATACAAAACAGCGATCGGAAAAACATGCTATGAGACTTATAGTTCGGGAGCAAGGTGGTCTACCAGCATATATCTAAAATATTTTTTCTAATAATAATTAACCGTTAAAAATTTGATGCGATATGCGAATCACACAACTTTCACTTACTAATTTACTTTAAGTAGAAATACGTATTTTCATACATAGGGAAGTGAAAGTAAAAATGATAGACGGTACAACATATTATTTAAAACGATTAATTACTACATGTTTTTCACACCCGTCTTTCACATTTATGTGTTTACTCTTTCTCTCTACGATTGTATATTCTAATTTTTATTTATTATTGCACGCTCTAAGCTTCCAACCGATCTTTTTATACAAACTTTATTCCTTTTTTTAATGAAAAAATCTCCGTACAATCCTCAATGCTCCTTGCTTTGTCACAAATATGATCCTCCATAAATATCTTAATGTTCCACATGTTGAATTGGCCCAACAAGATACCTATCCTTCATAATTTTTTTTTTAAATCTTTTTATTGAGAAATAATACATTTTGCCACATTTAAGGGCACTGAGTACTAAAGCTGAGTGAGACCCATTCATACTATATATACAATGCAATAAAAAAAAAATAAATAAAAAATAAAAATATATATCTATATAACAAAGGTAAAAACTATAAAACCAAAGAAATGTAACTTGAAATCAAATTAAAAAAAAATAATAATAAAAAAATTGCTTCCTCTTCGAGCCCTGATAAACCCCCGAGGATGGCCTGAAAAAGAAGATGGCCTCGTGATCTCCTAAATTAGATGTTTTATTAGACTATATTGTTTTATTAGCTGCCAATGATATATTCTCTATAAATCTTTTCATGTCATTGCATTTCTCTGTATTGTATAAATATTACTTGTATATTTATTTGTATACACATGTAAATTTCATGAATAAAAAATTAAGAATCATGATTTTTTTTAGTCCGTTAAGATAGTTATAAATTAATATTTTATCGCTTTACATTATACATTTAGAGCATAAAAAATGAATTGATGATTCTTTTTATCGATTGAAATAAACATATTTTTTTCTTAGTGTAATGTACGTATAAGTACAGAATTTATGTGAGAGGATAGAAGCCATAATTAACCTTCAGCATTTTTTTTTTTATATTCACTTCAAGTGGGAAGTCCCCAGTGGAGTGTTGCTGCAGACAATGGAAAACACAACAACGAAATTACACGGAGAGGAGAGAGGAAGCAGATTCGCTGAGAGGCCATTAGGGGTTCAAGTGGGGGCAACAATGACAGCTTGGTCTAGGGCTAAAAAAGGTTTAAAAAATTAGACTAAAAAAAAAGAAAGAAAAAATGAAACTGTAAGTGGTGAGAGTGTTTCCGAGTGACATGGCGATGGGAGCCAGTTTGCGGAGGAAGACATGGCCTCTAGTCATTAAGTTGTCACTGGAGACCGTACGGCGCTCGCCATGTCTACCTCCGATCAACAGGTGTGCTGCATAGTCATCGCAGGGTCCTCTGGAGGGACCGAGGTGGCAACTGAAGGGTAGCAATTTCTCGAGAAGTATGACAGGTACTGCCGAAGATCAAAGAAAACAATGGCAGAACTCTGAGAGGAACTCCTTATCAAATCTATCAATATTGGAAAGAAGGGAATTCAAAATTCATAATAAGTCGAAACAGAATAATAATATGACTTCTTGCCACGAACGAATATTTTCCATAGAATATAGATAAGTGAACAAATGTGATAGTACAACTTAATGTATGGATTTTAAGGGGAAGGAATTCATTATCATCAAAATAATATACTAAAACGTGTATATGAATGAACTCTTGCTAAAAATAGTCCGATTTCAATGATTTTTTTCACTTTATAGGGAATTGGGAAACCATTCTAATTATCATGGTTACAATTTTATACTTTTTGATGAAGAATTAAGAAAGATGTGTCATGCGAAAAAAAAAAAAACACCTTGCAGAGATAGAACGTGCGGTGCTTTCTCATAGAAACCAGTTCAGTTTGTATTAGTTTTTCAAATCATAAATACTATGCATCTCGTGGAATATAGCAGTTGTTAATTATGAGGATGCTTAGGTTGTCCAACAGAAAAATACACCCTTCTCAAAGTGTATTATTTTTCCCATTTAGTTTACCGGATGTTATTTCCAAATATGAGAAGTGTGGCAAAAAGAACAAGAAAAATCTTGTGCACGCAACAGACAACTTTCACATACTCTTTGAACTTTGCTCAATTTTTTAAATTGTATTTTTAACTGAGCTAAAGGTAAAATATTTCAGCTAACAAATCATAAATACTATTAAAATAACAAAAGTCCTGTTTACTATATCACCGGTTGATTATGGATTGTACGATTCGTTGATTATGGATTGTTCGATCCGTTGGTTATGGATTGTACGACTATTAGTAATTACCGTTATTTTCCATTGGAAAGTTTATTTATTAAAACGGAATTAAGAGATTTGCATTGTCTGCCATAGAAAGGTCAAAAGTTGTCACACTAATTGTAAGTGGATTCTGTTGGAATATCTCAAAGGGAAAATTGATCAAATTATTCGCTAATTTAATTTTCTAAAAGGTTACGTGTTGATTTTTCGGAATAAACGGACGAAAGATACCTAAATATTTAAATATAATATCAGATCTAGAGTTATTAAACTACAGTAAATATATTTAAGGTTATAAACGTATCTATGAAATATTTTTATATTTCACTTCTTTCACACAAGTACAATGAAATAGTAGTGGATACTGTTGGAATATCATGAAGGGAAGACTCATCAAATTATTCACTAATTTAATTTTTTGAAAAGTTACATGTTAGTTACATTTTTCGGAATAAACGTTGATACCTAATTATTTAAATATAATATCAGATCTATAATCACTAAACTACAGTAAATGCATGTTATATATTTTATACAGATATTTTAAAAAAACTAGAGACCATAACTTTCATCATAATTGTCCGATTTGAACGATTTTTTTTTTAGGAAATTCCGTAAGCTTTTAAAAAAGTTTCGTTTTCGAGCTAGTGTTCACAGACACAAGACCATTTTTCGGGACTTGGTTATTTGGACTCAGGGTACCCCAAAACTTGTATTTCCATTGAAAACTCAGATTCAAAAATTTTGTCGATCGCAATACTTAACCTTACTATATATTACAGATATACGTAAGTGAAAGTAAAAAGATAGTAAGATGATTCGGATACTAAATGCACAGGAATACTTTTTAATGATTTCGTTATTGGAAATTCTATAGAAATTAGAGTATCTTATCTTCATGAATTTTATGTAATGGCTTAACAAATGAAATGATAATCTTCTAGGCTACACAAGCTTTGTTTTAATTACAACTGATAGCACTTCCTCTCTCCCAGGGCAGTGGCGCACGCCTCCTATTAAAAAGCTCTCCTATTACAAACAGTGAAAAAAGTAGAATTATAAAATATTACAATTTGCAATTATGTATTTATTTGAATTCACTATATATTTTTTTCTTTTTGTTTTTTTTAACTCCTTTTTATGTCATTTAAGTCATATGGGATTTACATAAGAATTTCATCGTTTCGCCTTTCATCTGGTAATTTTTTATTATAGAAATACCGTAAAAAATAATATATTTATTTTTTATACTTGCGAGTTTTATAAATGCCATGTTCTTCCCTGACCTAAATTTTAACAGAAAACTCCCAAGTCGAGAAGGATGCTCGGCTTTAGTCAGCACTGAGCCTGCCAAAGGTGAAGTATCCAACCCCGCACGACGTCAAGGTAATCAGACAGAAATCCATGCAGTCTTCTTGTTTTATTTCGCCTTTGGGGTCGGTAGTATAGCTCTGCTTTACGTTTTTATATTACATTTTACACCCGTAGTGATACTATAAAATCAAAGCTGTAACATAATGTTTTCGAAATAGTTAAATGATTTATAGAAGTTATCATTTGAATTAATGGGTTGAATTGATAAAGAGAAAAGGATTGTCTTGAAAGAAAAAGATGTGGAACGCCATTCAGTTTTCGACTTCCCAGTCCTGCAGATTTCAAAAAATATTTTTATCAGCTATGGTAATTATTAGATTTTGATATTTGTCATACAATATTAATTTCAAATTGTCTTTCTTTCTATCATATAATGAGATAAATTCCTATGGTAATTTTATTTTATTTATTTATTTATAGAGTACTACAATAATCTGTCAATTAGACATTAGTTATAGTGAGGTCACAATATATGTACAAAAAATATAAAATAAATAGAAGCAAAATAACAATAAATAATAATCAAACAGTATATAAAATAAACTTAAAAATAAGAAAATTAAAACAAAGCAAAAAACACATGCATACCAATATAAACTATTTAAAATTAGGAGCGGGAATTCCGAGGTAGGCTTGTCCCTTAAACTATGTAGGAAAAAGATGGACTGTAGGAGAACCCTGCGCTATTCTCTCAACCGCATCACTGGTACTGATGCCAGCGGAGATTGATCGAGAACACTTTAGCCACATACACTCATATCTTGATTGGAGAATCTGGCCATTGCCATAACCCCAATATATAGAATCCAAAAAAGGTCACGGGGCTACTGCCGTATCAAACTTCTTGGAGGATTATAGAGATGGGTAGTGCTTGATAGGGATTGTGCAAGAGGATTTGGGGAATACGTAAGGTTCTAGTGAAATTTGGAGAATTTTTCTGGGATTAGGTTTAGGACAAATGGGATGTTGAGTTCATGATGTAGAGTTTTGTTGGTTACATAGCAAGGAGCATCGGCTATTGTTCGAAAGACTTTTGACTGGAAGGATTGGATGCCTTAGATGTTAGAAAATTTTGCTGTTCCAAAGATTTCTAGTCCGTTAGTCCAAATAGGATTCAGTATTGTCTTGTATATCAGTAACTTGTTTTCAATAGAAAGTTTAGATTTTCTGCTTAGTAATCTGTATAGTTGGATGTATGTTCGGTTAAGTTCATGTCTTTTAAGTCTAGTATGAGGGTTCCACGTTAGTCGTCTGTCTAAGAGAAATCCAAGATAAGGGAATATATCCGAGAAAGAAAGCTGGATGGTGTTAAAATAAAGTGGTTGACAGGATTTACGACAACGGATGAAGGTAATGTGTTTACATTTGGATTAGGTTATCTTAATGCGCCATTTCTTGCACCAGTGGTTCATTATCTGAGTTGTTTGAAAGGATAATAGAACCGGAGATGGATGGCAAATCCGAAGGGGGCTATCCTAAAAAAAGTACTTCCCCACGGTCATGTCACGATTAGATTCAAGATAGTTCCTCCCGGATTACTGGGTGTCTAAACTTCTCATGGGCGATGGAGACTTTCGAGCGAAGTTCGTTAAACACGGGGAGTATATTGATCCGCTATGCCCCAACTACAACGTTCCGGAGACCGCTGAACACTGCCTATGAACACTGAGAGATAAGCTCCTGAGAAAGACGGAAATATATTAGCTGACTTGAGCATGTTACCCCAGCTACTGAGCAGAGAGAATTACCCACATTATAGGGAATTCGTATACCGTTGGCCGTATGCCACATCAAAGTTCTTGTAAAGTAGTAAAGTAGATAGTTCGTCTGTATGATTTCTAACACCATTCGCATTCACAAATTAGAATGGATATGGATTTTGGGATGTGAGTCATTTAAGGATTTTTTAAGGAAGGATGAGGTGAGATAGGAGATTTGTGTAGGAGATTGAGGAATGATATGAGTGGAGTAACAAGGGATGATACTCAATTGTTCACAATTAGAGAAGCCTCTCTATCTCTTCTTGGTCTTACTGCTTCATTTTGAATCTGGCTTTTCTGATGTCTGGATATGAGATTCTTATAAATTTGACAGCTTTTGTAGTTGGCCGGGTGTCCCTCCAAGCAAAGGGCCCACACTGCAGGATCTTCTATCGGTTTGGTGCACTCCATAGTTTTGTGCTGTTCACCGTATTTCACGTAACGCAGCAGATGGTGATCATATGTTTTCATGTGGCCGTATGTCTGCCAATTATAACACTGCACGATTTCTCTTTTGGGGTATGGTCTCTACTTTCACCATTGTGTAGTATATTCTTGTTATATCATATATTTTTTCGATACCTGATGATGGCTCCAAATCTACGAAAAACAATATTAGTGGGATTTTATTTCGTAACCTTGGCCTCTGCTTGTTCTCCTTTAAATCGTTGGTTACCTGACGTACATTGAAATCAAGCGTCGTTAGTTTTTCTTTAATCACTTCAGTTGTGGTTGAGGAATGCAAATTTCTTATCACGATTCGTAACGCTCTCTCCTGCATTAGATGGCACGTGTGAAAATTCGCGTTTGTTTCTGAGAAGTACTTCACTATTTTTCGGTAGGCTTCAGCAGAATCTGGTGTTATTTTGGTGCCATTGGTCCTGTTAAGGCATGAATATGCCAGAGCAGATTTTGTTTTGTTGGCCGCAGAACAACTGAAAATTCTTTATATTTTTCACAAATATCGGAGGAGGTCTTGGTTCTCTGGGTATTGCTACAGACTCCACTACCTCTTGGTCATTTTGAAGTACTTGGTAGAGGTCTGGAGTAAACAAAGGGGATTCTTCAATCATTTTTTGCGAAGACGTGCCCGGTTGGGGCTGAAATTCCGGTTCTTAAGTGTTCACTGTCGTCATTGGAGGTGTTTCTTGTAGGCAGTGAGGAGTTCTTTGTTTGGCTGGTGAATCACGAGGTGTACTAACGCCATCTGACCGAGTCCTCTTGGGCACCTTACTGGACATCACTTGGTAATAATACCGCATATCATAAGAGGAGAAATAAAAAAGATATCAACTGCTCTGATGTACACTTGAACTGTATTCAGTGAATAATCAGAGAGATCCTGCTGAAAAATAGGGAAAAACTGAGAGGCGAGTTGAGAATACAACCTTCGCATCAGCTGATCCACTGCCTTCAAGGGAAGAATAAATAAATAATAAAAACATAATTTAAACCGATGTATTTTCTTTAAATAATAATTTTCAGAGAATAATGTGGTAAAAACATCATAAAACAAAACAATATTTAACAATGAGGTAAATTAATTTATTCGATGTAGTTGGTTTTGATGGTTTTGATGGCTCCGTTTTGTCTGCCATTTCATTTACTGATATTCCTACATGTCCCCGGCACCCACTGGAAAAAGTAATCGTTGCTGGCGTTGTATATTAATGATATGATTTTAAAGGAAATGTGTGTCAGTGCTTTATTTTGATAGACTAATTTTAGGTATTTACATGCAGTTGCTGATTCTGTCAGAATAACTATTTTTTGGTTGATGTATTTCTTTTCGCTTTATATTATGGCTTTAAGAATATCATATAGTTCGGTGCTGAAAATACTGAAATCAACTGGTATTGATAATGAAAATTTCTGGTTCTTTTGGGGATCATACGCAGCTACAGAAGTTCGGGTACTTGTTTTTAATGTATAAACTAGTAGATAATTATGGTAACGTTTCATGATTGTGTTCAGTGGAAATTGCTTCAAATTCTTCTCTACTTTCCCAGCTAGATTAGATGAGTTATGAATATTAATTAAAAATTTGGGAATGGGCGTTGTATATACCTGAGGAGCTTTAGAAATGTGTAGTGATTTCAAAAGACGATGCAATTCCTTCATGATGACGGATAATTGAGGACAGAACCCGTTCTACTTCTAATTTTTTACCTACAGGATGGTTATTGTCAGGATAGACTTTGAGAATGTAGTGTTTATTTATCCATGACCTTCTGATATGTAATGGCATCTCTCCGTCTGAAACCTTAAGCGGAGAAGTTATATTTTTTTTATTTTGGAACATATCGTATTTAAGTTGGCATTATTAGCGCAAACAACTTCAAGATTCACCCTAAGCTGCAAAAATATAAAAACTGAATGAATAATTACATTGAATAACCGTGAGAATAAAGTTACACCAGATATATATATATATATATATATATATATATATATATATGTATATGCCGAACTTAAATATAATATGTCCCAAAATAAAAAATTAAGAACTTAAGATTAACGAATAAAATTCGCTGCAGTACATCACTTTGAACTAAAGTATAGTGTTTCGATTTTCTCTAAATTTAACTTAAAGTTGTTGACCCTACTTTTCAAGATTATATGACCACTCTAGTTTTTTTTTATTTCTTCCCCACCTCACATTTAGGACTTAATTAGGGATGCGTGCCGGGGATTAATACCATAGTTATATTACCAAATATATTTTAGGAATCATTACTTTTAATTCACACCCCCAGTCATTTTTATAAATTAAATTCGGAAAAAAAATAAATAAAATACGGAAAAAGAAGAAAATTCAGCAGTTTAAAGTTATATTAAGTTTTTTCAGGTATACATTGATTGGAAAATTAAGTCTATTTTAATCCGTTTTCTAAGCGAAAATTAACAGATAATATATTTTTTTGAATTATCTATAATACGTAATTAATTATTAGGTAACGCTTTAGTGATCCGAAAATGATATAAATAATTATTCAATAAGATTATACACAAGTCAGTTCTGTTGACAATAACAGGGAAATATTACCGTAAAAATTAAATAATAATATCCCAAATATTATGTACCGTTACAACAAATGCTGAACATTTTTTTATAATTATGTTTTTGTTGCTTGATATTTTTCTTTTTTTTGGGGGGAGGAGCCTTACATCAAACAGTAAATTATCGTAATTTAATTATTTATATAATCTACATATTGAGTTGATGTTACAGCAAAGGAAATTTAATTTTTTTTTTTACTCCCACATGTATCCCCTTTGAGATTAAAACAAATTAATCTAGATAATTAAATGGATTGTTTTCGGAAAGGGTTCCGATCTGATTAGTAAGCGAGAGGACGGAGCCGCAAACAGTGGAAATCAATTGGCAATATTTATTCGGTGGCGGATGCACCTCTGTACGGGTCCTTTTTTTTTTTTTTTTGTTTCCTCTCCGCCGACGTGGGAGTAAAAAATAAAATAAAATAAAGCCAGCGAGAAAGCAGAGTAATTAAGAGGAAGAGATAAAAAGCAGAAGGGACGAGAGAAGAGCTGTGACACCAGATAGGTTTCAATTAGTCTATGTGGCAGAAGTAGCTACCATTATCCTATCCTCCCATCATTATTGGCTTTTACTTTTTCCCTCGCTTTATGCTTTATCCTGTCCTCAATGAAGCTTACGCAGCCACTCCCGTTTTTATTAACAGGCACCACATCAAAGGTATCGGCCATCGGCTCTTCCATATTGAAAACTGACTCCTATCCATTTCCTGAAATGGGAGGCACCTTTTGAGCTGCCGATGAACCGAAATTGCGTGCCCCAATGACGGCCAGACTTCATTCCCTTCAGATATACCATTCTTCATCTCCATCTCATTTCCTTTATTTTTTTTCATACTTTTTTTTTTCTTCTTTCCTCTTATTCATTTTTTGAGAGTATGCTAATATTGATGGCTACTTACTTATTCTCTTTGATTATCTATCTTTCTTTAATCTATCTCATTTTATCTAGATTCATCCATTGGAAAACCTGACCCAACTTATAACGGGGTTACCCAAGTAAAGATGATTGTGGCGGAACTGGGATGTCAGGGGCTGTTTTCTTGCGTTTTCTCCCTAGGTCTGATGAGGTTCAAAGATGAAATCATGGAAAAAATAAGAAACCATCACGCATCCAAGGACATCGGCAGAATGTTAAACTCTAAATCAAACCCAAGATATAGAAAAATCTTCTCCTTTAATGTTACCAGACCAGAGGATTATCTTCAGTTCAGGGCTCTGAATTTAAACAAATTAAGAGCCGTTAGTCGTCTCAGAGTAGCAAGTAAAGATGTTATGAAAATATACTTAAAAGATGCTATTATGACTATTAAATCTAGTGAGGTATGTGGTGCATGTAACGGCCTTGTAACTGACCCGGTAACTCAATTTCTGATCCAATGTATCAAGTTCAACGAACCAAGAATTAAGTACTTGAAGACATTTATCACTGAATCCAGAGAAGATGCTAGTGTGGAGGAGATACTGAAAATAGACACTAGGAAAAAAAAATAAACCAACTGTATTATTTCATACAGGGCTGTTCATGAAACTGTTAAGTGGTATAGTTAATCATATAACATATATTAATGCTTATTTATACTGTCATTTATCTTATACCTCTGGAATATTAAAAAAAAAAAAATGTATTATTGAAGAAAAAAAAAATGTGTCATACTTAATGCTGTGGACATTGTTAATGTTATGTTTGAATGCAGTACTAGACTCAAGATCTAACATTGTTAATTATACCATTATATTTATTTGTACAGAAATTTCCTTAGACAAATAAAATAAACGATAATAATAATCTTTTCTTTAGGTTCTCGAATTATATTAGTCTTAGAAGATGGATTTTAAAAAATCGTGCTTTTGCTAACATCAGCAACCCAAACACAAACACGACCTAGTTCATAATTGCATCACGTCCCACGTTTTAGCCTTACATTTATATTTAAATGTTGAAAAAATACTATTCGTTAAATAATATAATACATGTACCTGTATATTACATATAAACTTATATTTAGATATATGTTATATTATTCAAATGCTGCAACAAGGTTATAACTGAAAAGTCAGGATTTTCCAAAGGAAAGATTAAAATTTCTTAATAAACTATTATGTGAAACTGCAATACAAAATGAAGTAATGACACGATTGGGAGTAAAATTCCAAAACCTTTGAAATTGTCCCTTTAGTATTGATTCCAAAACCACTAAATTTTATTTTCCTTCGGAAATAATAGACATAGGCTGTACCAAAAGTCTTCAGTGGAAGACGAGATTATGTAATTTTTAGAGATATCAGTTATATATCTCGCTACATTTCGGTACTCTGAAGGACCACGGATATATCGCTTTAGTTAAAATTCAGTAAATATAGTTGCTTCCCAGGCGGAACAATGACATTAAAAATCTTTTTTTTTTATTATTGTATTAAATTTACAACTGTATTACATAGAAAATACAATAAGTAAATGTGACATTGGTAACATGACATGTACAACATGAAGAGAAACTACTCATTGGTAGAACTCAAATTAAAGTTCTATATTAGAAGATAAATACATAAATACATAAATACATCAAGTAAATGTGTACACAAGAATATAATCACAAGAAAACGCTTGAGAAACAACCCATTGGTAGTCTTCTAATAATATGTCTATATAAGGAGATCACGATGCCTTCTTTTCAGGAAGGAGATCTTCTTTCCAACGCCTCGGAGGGTTATCAGAAATCGAAGAGGAAGCAAGGTTAATAACGAGAGGATTCAGATGGTTCTGCAGTTTGTTATGGAAGGATAGGTATCTGGATTGGGCCAAATCGGAAACATATGGAACATTAAGGTCTTTATGGATGATTTTATTTGTGACAAAGTAAGGAGCGTTGAGGATTTTACGAAGGATTTTGGATTGTAAGGATTGGATACGAGAGGAATTCGATGGTTTAGTGGAGCCCCAAAGCTCAATTCCGTAATTCCAAATAGGTCTTATTATTGTCATATATATGAGTCGTTTGTAATTAATTGAAAGCTTAGAGCGTTTGTCTAATTGATTGATATTGTCCGAAAACGTCGGGCGGTTTCTAGTCGTTTCAGTCTGGTATGGGGGTTCCAAGTGAGTCGTTTGTCGGGGTTGTCAAGGTGGAGTCCTAAGTATCGTCATAGATAAGAGAGCTATTTTTGAAGGATACTGTAGGAAAGGAAGTCATAGGTTTACGACGAAGAGTGAAGGTAATTTGATGGGATTTATTGGAATTTATTTTAATCCTCCAGTTTTGACACCATTTTTCAAGACTTGTGATGTGTGATTGGAGAGTTTGGGAACGTTAAAAATCTAGATTAATTTCAACACAATTACCGCATAAATTACGGGTTTTCAAGTTTTCATATGTTTTGAAAGTATTCCACATCTCTACCGCTCAATGAAGTTGGAAGGTTGAAATTATGTATGCATACTAATTTTTTTTTTTTCGGGAAAGTGCCAATAAGAGGGTTTCAATGCCAACCAACATTTTGTTTCAAGATGATTGAAAAAGTCCCTTTTTTATAGGCTGCTGCACTAGAATGTCTATAAGGTTTTTGATAAAAGTTTCCTAAAGTGTTCTCTACATAACCATGTAAAATTTCGTATGTAACATACTATAAAAAAGAGGAGAAATGTTTAAAGTTGTAACATTACTGGTGTAATATAAAGCAAAATGTTTACTCATAATTACTTTCAAAGTGAAAGCGAAACAAGTAACATATATAATGGCATAAATAAATTTTAATAACTTTAGGTGACCCGAATCTTCTGTAAAATTTCATAAATCTTGTATCGCTAGTTTTTGATTCTGCAATTGAGTGTGTATTAAGCTTATTAAGAATTTTTTCATAATAATATACTGATTGATAGTACTCATGGAGTATTAGGTTTTAATGATTCGTACATGCTCTTTTACTTAATAATGTGCTTAATAATGCTCTATCTAGGTTACTTATCAATATCTAGATTAATTGACAGACGTTCAAAATTATCTTTGACTAACAAACTAACACTATAAAGTTTTACTAAAACCAATTTGAACTTATGGCATAGAACTGTGGGGTTCTGCTAAAACCTCTAATATTAAAAAAATCCAGTCTTTCCAATCCAAAATTTTACGAAGAATAGTTGACGCACCATTTTATGTCGCAAACGATAGATACATAAAGACTTGAACATCCCAACAATTTTAGACACTGCAAAAGAAAAATACAGTAACTTTCACCAAAGACTAACTTACAACACAAATCTTCTAACAGAAAAACTTAAAAGCACTAGAAACCCGTACAGCCCACCTCGACGATTACGTAGGCGGTGGCCAAGAGACCTGCTGAACTGAACTATTTCCTGGATTGTGATAGGACGCTGAGAAGCTGCCAAAAAATTTGTTCATTGCAGAGAAATTTGCAGATCGCAAATTTAATTTTTATGTTATGTATTAATAATAATAACATTTGAATAATGCTCTTGCATCTTTATGATAAAGGGTAGATCAACAATGTTTAGGAAAAAAAAAAAAATCTCACTACGTAATTATAAATAAATATAGGGAGAATACTATACATTAGATAAAATATTGCAGATGCATCACTTACAATTATTTTTTTAATTTATTTTGATTAGTCAGAAAATGGCGTTATATTGTATTAATTATATTGATTAATACTATTGTACTGTTTTAAAGTAAAATGAGCATCTTAAGCAATTTTCGAAATAGTTGGATCTATTTTAGCCAATATGTAAGATCTCTGTTTTGGGCTCGCCTTTAAAGTTACAATGTTTTATTGAAAAATTAAATAAAATGAATATATGTATATATATATATTTATATGTTCCTAAGCGAACATATAAATATATATATATACACAAATAATATATAAATATACACAAATAATTATAAATATATATATAAAAGTGGTTAAAATTGGCACACCACTATTATAGCTATTATTTTCATTGCTCAACTCTTAGAAATTGAAAATATTCATTTACAATCTTTAATGCTTTCTTTGCGGCTTTCTCAAGCAGCTTCCAATAAATGAAGCCTAGTTCATTCTAAGACTCCAAATGACCGCCGGATCCCGCGAAACCATTAAGAAGCACCCCGACTGTAAATAACATTTACTGTAAGGGGAAGACCTGTAGCCCATCTTATTTAAAGGAGTAATGGATTTATAGGGTGTGATAAAGGTAAGTTGAGGATAGAATTTAAACGACTGCTTGAGCAAGGGTAACAAGAAGGTGTTAGTGCTCTATATTTACATAACGCCTCTACGTATATTCAGCTACACCTTGGCGGGGAGCACATATGGAAGGAAATGGTTATTATGTGCATTATATCTCCATTTCGATTTAGATTTATAATAACAAAAAAAATATATTTTCTTTTTTTGTGGTGTAAGTGCACCTTTAAACAATATTGTTAAATACATTTTGTTTAATATTTTGTTATCTTTGTCACACTCAATTTTCGATATAATGAATAGAAATGCATTAGCAATATAGTTGATACCGCGGTATTAGATATCCCTGTTTCGGCTCTCAGGAGCGATATATTTTGATGAATGAGAATCATCGATTGAAAATTTTGAATGAACTCAAAAATCGAAGGGTCGAAATTGCATAAATTGTGTTTTAAAGATTTTGATCCGAATATTAAGTAGTTTCAAGGGAACTAAAACAGGTGCTGCGTTTTAAAGCCTAATACTCTACCGTTTTTTCACTTTCCTACCTATACTAGGTAAGGAAAGTATTGCGATCGGTTCAAATTTCCGATATGCGGTTTTCGACGGATCTATACGTTTCAGAGTCCGAAAAACACATTTTTAGCCTTTGGCCTATCTGTCTGTCTGTCTGTCTGTGCCAAAATTTTCTCAGGAGCCACTGAACCGATTTTGTAATTAATTAATTCTTTTTTTATTTTGTAGGGTTTTGACTACAGATGCCTGTGACAGAAATTTGGTGCTCCATGCGCAATAGCTTGCACGCAATAAATAAAAAAAAAATATTTTTCTATAGACTGTAACGCGAAAACGGCTTTAACGATTTTGATGAAACTTTCCTATAATCTTCTAATAATCGTCTTTTCAATTTACGGTTAAATTTATAATAAAACGTAATTAAATTACCAGCAAAAAAAGGAATCATCGGATTCGAACCAGTATTAGCGATGATACAACTTATTTTATTTTCTACACATGTTTTAATTTATTACTTGTGGCCAGATTCACCACTCAAGACATGAGTATATGTGGTTATTTTATTTTATTATCTATTGTATATACTTTTGATTATTATTTTGTTCTATTTATTTTATTTTTTTTGTACATATAGTGTGAATGTCATCCTACCTCACTATAACCGATGTCCAATGTTAGAGCGTTTGTCTAGTAAGAGCTGGAGTAGTCGGAAACGTCGAGCTGTTTCTTGTCGTTTCAGTCTGGTATGAGGATTCCAAGTTAGACGTTTGTCTAAGTGGAGTCCAAGGTATCGAATTTGTTCAACAGGGATAAGTGGGGTATTAGTAAAGAATACTGTAGGACAAGAGGACATAGGTTTACGACGAAGGGTAAAGGTGATTTGATGGGATTTATTGGAATTTATTTTTATTCTCCAGTTTTGACACCATTCCTCAAAGTTTATGATGTGTGATTGAAGGGTTTGTGCATAAATATAAAATAAAGTCTTAAACTCTTAGGAGCAATGGTTGTCATGGAATAACTATCACACATTAAGGTTTTAAAAATTGAAATATTGCTATTTATGGTAGTTTTCAATGAAATATAATTTAATAAAGTAAAATAGATTAATATAACTTGAAGGATACCTGTGCCTTATTGCGTAAACTATTTCTTTAACTAAAGGAATATTTTCCGGAGGCAAACCTGTTCACTTGCATGTCGTATACCTGATGATATTTTTAAGGTTGAAACCAAGATGGTCTCATAAGAATTTCATTCTCCTCTTTCGGATGATCAAAGGAATTATAATACGCCTATACATAAATCCCCCGTTTAATTAAGCTCAATTTTTTTTTTGAACAATTTTTATTGAGAAAAAAAAAACATTTTCCCTTAATTAAGGGCATTGAGTATTTATGATGAATGAAGTACAATGATACCATATATACAATAAAAGAACAACAAGATTATAAGAAAATAAAATAAAATAAAATTTGGAATAACAGAATAAATCAAACATGATACAGCATTAGATAAAAACTAAAATAAAATAAAAAATAATAATAATAAATAAAAACACATTCAAACTTATTTTCAATATTTAGAGTCAGCCGAGGGAGCTCCGAGTTGGGCCTTTTCCCCCACGTGTGGAGGACAAGGCAAGACTCCAAGAAATCCCAGCGCTTCTCTCTCAGCCGCATCACTAGGATGGGAATCCAGTGGAGACTGAGAGAGGGCATTAAAGCCACATACGCTCATGACTTGAGTGGAGAAGCTGGCCATTGCCAGGACTCCAATGACGTCTTTACAAAAGATCTCGAGGCCACTACCGCTTCAACCTTCGAGGAGGATTGTGGGGATGACTGGAACTGGATAAGGATTGTGCTAAGGGATTAGGTTCTGATGAAAATTTGAAAATCAGAATGGAATAACGTCAAGGACATAAGGGATGCTAAGGTCATGATGTAAGGTTTTGTTCGTAACATAATAAGGAGCATTGACTATTATACGGAGGATTTTAGACTGGAAGGATTGGATGCGTTTGATGTTCGATAATTTAGTTGTCCCCCACAGTTCAAGTCCGTAGGTCCAGATGGGTTTCAGTATGGTCCTGCATATTAATAGTTTGTTTTCAATTGAGAGGTTAGATTTTCTGTTAAGTAGTCTGTATAACTGGCCAAGTCGTCGGTTAAGCTCTTGTCTTTTAAATCTGGTATGTGGGTTCCATGTTATTCTTTTGTCTAGAAGGAATCCAAGATACCAAACTGTGTCTGAGATGGGAAGAGGTACTGAGTTGAAAAGGATATGTGGACAGGATCTGCGTCGGAGGGTAAAGGTGACATGCTTGCATTTGGATTCATTGATCTTGATGCGCCAATTGTTGCACCATTGTTCTATTAGGGAGATGTGTCTTTGAAGGTTTAGGGCTGCTGTTTAAGGGTCTGGGTGGTTTCGTAGTAAGACAGGATGTCGGTATCGTCAGCAAATGTTGCTAGATGGGTATTAGGATGGGTTGGAATGTTAGCTGTGAAAAGGATGTAGAGAACTGGGCCCAAGACACTGCCTTGTGGAACACCAGCCTCAACTGGATAATAGTTGGAGAATTCAGTGCCGCAGCGGACTTGAAAGGAACGATTTGAAAGGTAGGATTTGAAGACTAGATACAAGGATTAAGGTAAGTGAGATTTGAGCTTGAAAAGCAAGCCATCATGCCACACCCGGTCGAAAGCTTGCGCTGCGTCCAGAAATAAGCTCAAATTAGAGATTATCGAAAAAATTATGCAATATCAAATTCTATCCCCAATTTTTGCTATTTTTGTATGTAATATTCTATTTGGGCAAACTTTTTTTCATCTCTGACTCTATATTTCAAAAGCAGCTCATTTGATTTAGACGAAAGTTAAATACAATTTAAGGAACAGTGTATAAACGGTTTGGTATCATTTCCCCCAATTTCAATTTAACAATTACAATAAACGTAATCGTTAAATATGTAATTGCTTTGAAATAAAGCGAGTAGTAAAATTATGACAATGAGAGGTTATATTAGTTATTTAACTGATTAGAAGTGTTTTTATTTTTACTATATTCAGTTTTAAATAAAATTAATATCTTAGTGAAGTGTATGAGTATTTTATTATGTGCCCAATATAAAAGCGAAGGAAACTATATTGATTTACTTGGTAGTTATATATTCAAACCTTAAACTACTTCACACCTACCAAACTATTCAAGCTATATTCAGGATATTTTTCTAGGTAGCTCAAAAATCAAAATATTTTATGCCATCCAAGACTTGATTCGTTTTCATATTGTGTTTTAGGAAACTTCACTTTTATTTTATCTGACCAATATTTTCATTTCATATTCATAAATTTCATAAATTTTTATTATACTTATTGTTAGTGCAGTAGTTTGTTGGGGGTGGAGAGGGAGGGAGAGGAATAAGAATGTTTTGTTTGTTTGGATTCATAATAATCCTAATATACGCAATCAATGATGAGTAAATGCTCTATTGGAGAGTAAATCTGGTAAGGAGGAAGATTGCGTTAAGATCTACAAGGTTTTTAATTTGATGGAGTTTGATGTTGACAGGTATTTATTTATTAATTTATAATAATACAACTTGCCACACGCAAAGGCAATAAGTATTAGTGCTGAAGATATCCATTCATACAACTTATACATACAAGGAAAAATATATAAATAGGAAAGAAGTAAAAAAAAATAGTTATGATAATACAAATAAATAAGATATAGTAAAAATGGATAAATAATAAAATAAAATAATTCTGATGAGTAGCAATGATACATTGTACAATGATAAAAGTAAAATAATATATGAACTTCACATTTTTATTTTTACTGTTTATTCAAGATATTTACAACATAAATACATCAAGTAAATGTGTACACAAGAATATAATCACAAGAAAACGCTTGAGAAACAACCCATTGGTAGTCTTCTAATAATATGTCTATATAAGGAGATCACGATGCCTTCTTTTCAGGAAGGAGATCTTCTTTCCAACGCCTCGGAGGGTTATCAGAAATCGAAGAGGAAGCAAGGTTAATAACGAGATGATTCGGATGGTAATGAAGTTTATTACAGAAGAATAGGTATCTGGATTGGGCTCAATCGGAAACATATGAAACATGAAGATCTTTATGGACTATTTTATTTGGGATAAAGTAAAGAGCATTGACAATTTTACGAAGGATTTTGGATTGTAAGAATTGGATACGAGAGGAATTAGATGGTTTAGTGGAGTCCCAATGCTCAACTCCTAATGCTCAAATAGATCTTATTATAGTCATGTATATTAGCATTTTGTAATTAATTGACAACTACAAAATTAGTATATTGTAAAAAAGTAAATTAATGTTGAATATAAATAAAAATTCTTCTAAAATTCATTCATACCCTATATATCATACAATATTTAGATCAGCCCAAGGGCCTACGAACCAGGATTTGTTCTCCACAGGTGGAAGGGAAATCATGTCCCCAGAAGATTCCAGCTCGTCAAAGGCATTTCTTCGACGGGTCGACAGAATGTATCGGCGTCGAACCTTCGGGTCAAAACATTTTATATTAAAGGGATTGCAAAAAAAGATTCTTCGATTTGTATTCACGTTTCATTTGCCTTATGTTCAACTACCCAATGTAAAATTTAACTCTTTTTGAACTACCCATATTAAAATTAAACAGGACATAATAAAGAATTTAGCAATAAATGCTTTGAGAAGGCGGTAGCCAAATAGGAAGGGAATGATATGGAGACAAGGGCGGTAATGACATAGGGCCCTTTGTCTAAGTTAGCTGCTTGACATTCCGCAGGGCTCCCAACCAATTCTTATTGCTTCTAAAGACTGTCATGTTTTATTCAGCTCCGGCCTCCCTCACTTTTTCGATAAAGCCCCCCAAATTCCCCGAGGGGTTAATAGTTGCCTCAAGGTCCCGAGGGGTGGTATTAGGAGGACTGTTGACAGATAAGGGGCTGTGCCCTGTTAACATTTTTATCATAAAATTCAGATTCTACCACTTGATCCGTCGTGAAAGGGTCTATGGAAATAATCCAGCATGTTTATATGTATAATTCTGCATTTGTTATTGGTTCTAAATCAACTAATAAATCAATCCAAATTGTTAGAATTCAAGTAGTTTTCTTATAGAATAATTTTTTGTGTGAAGAATTTCAATTATTTAAAATTGTTGATAATTTTCATTTATATATTATTATATAGGCGTTACAACGAGGATCGCCTTTCACTTCAGGGCTAAGCCGTTGTATAATTTTCATAAAATGCTAAATACAAAATGGATAGCATTCATTTCATTAAAGATAAATAAATATGCCCTTATCATTTCTTTCAAAAAAATTGAAATACATAATTTCGTGTTAAAAAAAAAAATCTGGTGCGGACAACACACAACTTTCACTTACCGCTTTCCTTGAAATAGAAATTATTTTCTGGCAATGTTGGGGTATTATAAAATTTTTGATGTGCATTTTAAACGGAGCTAAACCATAAAGGTAACAGATAACAAATCATTAAGACCATTAAATAAAGTTTATTTATTATATCGAGGGTTTGCAATGAAAATCTAGTTTTATAAACTACATAACTTCAGTTTCTATGCCTTTCAATTGGCTGAACGACTAACTCCAATTCCAACATTTTTGAGTGATGTCATTTTAGTGATATTTCTAATTGAAAAATTATATCTATACAGTAAGCAAGTTGATTAAAGATTAGGTGATTGTAATGTTGAAATATAGAACTGTGAATAAAGGTAGAAATGTTGCCACTAGAAACATCACTAAAATTAATAATAAAGAATGTTGAAATTGGAGTTAGTCATTCTGACAACCTTAAGGTTCATATATGCCTGGAGAGATTTGAAAGCATATCTGAATATTTAACCTATAAATGATCATGGATCGTAAAAAGTGGATACTTTACGATAACAGTAGACGTTCTGGACTGTGGCTCGACAAAGGAGAAGCAACAGAACATTTTCTAATGCTCCCAACTCATCAAAAAAAGGTAATGATTACTGTTTGGTGGATTCCATTTTGTTTGATACACTACAGTTTCTTAAATCATGCAGAAACCACCAAATCGTATTGTAACCCAAGTCCAAATCGTATTGTAACCAAATAATTGCAATGCATTAGAAATTGGTAATAATGAAGCCATATTTGATCAATCAGAAGGGACGCATTTAGTTGAATGACAACGCCCGGCCACGTGTCTCACGGAACTCAAAACAGTTGGAGCTTGGATATGAAAACGTGCCACATCCGCCCTCCTCTCCAGACCTCTAGCCTAAGGATCATCATTTTTCAGACACCTAGACCACTACTTACTTGACACAATATTTAATTAACAAAGAGGAACAGAAAATGCGTTTTTGGAGTTTATCAATACTAACGATGGGAATTCCATTCCGAGGGGATTGAAAAGTTGCCAACACGTTGGTAGAAATGTATTGATAGTAGTGGAGACTATTTTAATTAAATAAAACAGTTGCAAACCAAAATCCTGCATTATTTTCTGGACAACCCATTACAAGGTAATATTGTTTAGAATTTAGCGAGAATAAGAGAAAGGTAACATTAATACCACGAGAGGTTCCACCGAGTCGGAAATCAAAGTTACGAATGTAGGTGAGCTTAGCGGGCTGCGTAACTGAAAATTAGTGTCGGTGAAATATTCAAAATGTTCTAAAGCTTGGGGCTTTGTGGTGTTGTGCGCAGAGCAGCTCTGAATTGGTAAAGAGATCCAAAGCCACACGTCCTACGATCAGGTAGGTAAACCGCATCCTACCCCTACCACTCTCTGAAATATGTACGCCACTATAGCAGTACCACCGCAGCTACACAACTTGCGCTGATAACTTCTACTATGAATATTTCAATTAGTAAATGTTTCAACAGATCGATAACTTTATTTCCTCAAACTTTCTTGAGTATCAAACAGTTGAACAATAATAACAAGGGCTCTATGGAAATTTTTCATAGCATTGATTAGATCTTCTTCATCATAAAAATCAAACGTGGTTTAACCGTAATACAATGTCGGATGCTCATAAAGAAAACTATGTATGTTACAATGAGAATAATATGGCATAAAATGACTTCATCTACTATAGGGGTGCCAAAATAGTGATGCCCATATGCGAGACCAAGACGAGTCTTGCTCTTGCGCAAGAGTCTCGCAACAGTCTTGTAGTTACCTATTGCCTTATTACTACAGAGATATTACTATAATTGTTTAGATAGAAGAAACCTAACTAAACCCGAATGAATTATTAGAAGAGTTAAATACCAAAATATATTTAAAATACCAATACTTTAAATGAAAAAAAAAAAAAAAAAAACCTGTACCACCATGAAGGGTCTTGGGTGCAGTACCATGTGAGGAAGTACCGTTACAAGGCCAACGGTTGTGCTGGGAGATGACGGGCCAAAATCACGCTCAACCGCCAGGTTTTCTCCCCTAATTATTTTTTTAATTAAGGGTAACCACTTTATAGAGGCTGGCTGGGTGTGCCCCAGGAGGATCTCCTGATCCCAAGGGTCGATCTACGGCTAATGAAAAATTACTAGTCATTAGCCGGATTCGAACCTACGCCCTTGAGCTCTGGAAGTCAGTGCTCACCCACTGAGCTACCCCACTCCCCCTTTACATTGAGTAACTAAATTTGTCAAGTATATTAGTAAACATATTGCCTTAATTTTTACTTAAAAAAAAAAAAAAAAGATTCTTTTTTTACTAGTTTTGGTCTTGGTCTTACCAGTCTTGGCAATAGTTAGGCGGTCTTGGTCTTGGCTCTTTGCAAGACACAAAGACCGATTTTGTGCAACACCATGCCCAACTCAAGGCGCTCTTGTCATATTATTAGTTTGTGGGACAGACCCTCCTACCGTGCAATATATCCCCCCTCTCTCTAGAGCCAATATTCATAAAAACAAATTGGCCTCACTGACCCAAAAAATTTTGACTAGATGACTAGCTGATTGACGAATTTGACTAGATTTAGTTTTTTTTTTTTTTGTCGCTGGTTTCCAGCATTTGCCTTAATTTAGTCATTGATTGGCTTTGGCAATAAAAACACCAGTAAAGTTAAATTTTTCAAACCATGTTCGAAAAATCAATTCTTGAAGTGAAAACTTCTTTAGGCCTGCTTAGCACTTTTTCTGTAGGGAGTGAATGAGACTTAGCTGTCCCGGTCGGCTATGTAACGCTCATTCTGGTAGCATCGACACGAATCAAAGAATTACTGCATTTGAATTACAATATCTCAGAAACCAAAAGTCGGATGTGCAAACTGTAAGGTGAAATGTTCAACATTTCATCCTCTTTATAATGAGGAATTATTTAATACTGTATCTGGACGGCACACTGCGTTAGAGAGGCAAACAAGGGAAAATATAGTGTCAAAACGCGAAAATAATAAAGATTTTTTTTATTAAATTTGGATTAAAATATCTCAAAAACTAAAATTCGCACATGCATACTTACTCCACCCTCTTTGTAATGAGCTATAAGTCAAAATTGTTTTTGACGTGATACCGAGTTAGAGAGTTGGAACGAAAAAAGGTAGCGCCTAAAAAACAAATAATAACGACTATTTTGAGCATTTAGACTAAAATATTTCAAAATATAAATACCATAAAGAATTTAGAAACCAATTTTTAGAAGTCGATATACATTTTTTTTTAATTAGCTGAAAAAATAAGAAATTAAATATTTCGATTCGATTTTCTGTTGCACTCGATAGTGTTTCGACAAATTACTGATCCCCATTACAGAACTTATATTAAAAAAAGTATCAATAATGCATCATAATGTAACTATAATACGAATTCTCGAAGCCAATTATCATAAATAGAATGTAGAAATATAATATAGAATAATAGTTCTATATATAATATAGAACAAAAATAGTTTATACACAATTATAATTGTATATATGCTAATTGTTAGTTACTTTGTGAATATAGAACAAAAATAATTTATAGTTCATATAATTAATCGAAACTTTTTGATGTTTTCATTTCTATCTTGTGATCTCAAGCATGCAACGTAGTTTTTTTTAAAATACAAATACTTGTAAGTTCTTTTTATATACATTGTTTCTGAATATTATAGTCAACTTATTATGAAAATCACGTTATTCACAGATAATCCCTATAGAGGAGATTTATATATCAATATCTTTAAATATCTTTAAAAATAACCTATGCAGTATTCCTAATGTAGCTGTTATATCACTTTGTAATATGTAACTATTATGTGGTAATATACGTAACACAACTAACCCAATGATTCGTTGACTATTCGAAAAATATAAGTATAAACGAAAATTATACAACTTCAAATAAAATTTAGATCTTAGCAAAAAAAATCAAACAGGTCTAAAATAAGTATAAATTTGATGGTAATTAAACTAATGAGGCACATATTAAGATATTGTATATATTAGCTCATTCAGAGATCCACATCTCTAATACACGCAAACCTGCGCAAATCTGAAAGATAAGACAATTAGGAAAATTAGACAAGTATAAACGACGGGGTGTGAGCGTTGATGTCAGGGCTTTTGCACCCTTAAGTCTTAGCAATTTCTATGTAGGAAAATCGGGGTGAGCTGGAAAATTAGGCTGACGTCGGCGGATTTTAACTAAATAATTAGATGTGATAAATCGTATTTATCCCCACTTGAAGTATTTCATTCGAAAACACCTAAAGTATTATTAAGCCTATAAAATAAAATATTAATATTTTATATACAAAACTAATGAATTATTCTACTACTAATTTTCTTGTACAAGAAAAACGTTGCATATCAGATGGAATGGAATACAGATGGAGCACTGAACTGTAGAAAATATGGAGCTGTCATCAACTTTAGATTAAGTTATGAATCCCAGATGTGATTCTAGACACTCCTCGTCTTTTCTATATTAGATTAGTTTTGTTTAA